AAGGAGAATCGTAGCCTTTGTACCGTCGAGTTTTGAAAACACCATTCAAGAAACAACTTTGAGAATTTTTCTTTTTTGAGCAATTCTGACTACACGAATCAACCCTAAAGTCATCATGATCTTTTATTACATACATGCCGACAAAGGACAAAGACGTGATGCACATTAACAACGCTTTGGAAGATGTAAACCTGGGTAGTTTCATGCATTCMGATTTGCTCAAACCATTGGTTCATAATTCGCACAAGACAGAACTATGTTTGAAGGAATGAAGTTGATTGATTTGGACAAACTTGACGGAGTACTTGGTGAAAAGATCATCCGAAAAACGCAAAGTTATGCGGTCTTTCCTCTGTTATGTTTTTTTTCCTCCGCTAATTCATGAGCTAACTTTGACTATAGACATTAGCTTTATTATCAATTGTTTTGCTAAGATAGCTATAAATCGGTGTAATACTTCCCCTATTCTGCTCTTCTGAGAACTCGCAATGCTATGGATCCACACATGCCCGTATTAATAAGATTGGCTATTTTGATATGAGAGCTGAAAAAGAACAGCAACATACACCAGAAGTCCCCGTTTGATCAAATAAGAAAAAACCGAGCATAATACATTTTTAATCAATCTATTTGTGTAGCAGAACAATGAAACAATGATCAATCATCATCCTGAACAAGCACGGTAGAAATGCACAACCACAATGCGGCACTACAAAGTAATGAGTTGTTTTTTGTTTTGACAATGTTCAAGCATTTATCTGAAGGAACTCTTTGACTAACATAATATTATTTTTTTGGTTGAAAAATTTGAAATTCAACGAGAGCGTGTCCTCATCATTGTGTCGGAATTTGCAATATTTGTTATTGTTGTTTATATTTTAGCAAATAGGCATCACTTAACTATGATAGCATTTACCCAAGAGGATAAACAATTTGGAGTGAACTTTGCATAAATCCTTTTTTCTTTTTGTGGGAAATGCAATTCCATTTCCCTAATATGACACYTGGCACGTTTTAACTCTTTGAGTGATTTTCCAACCGTATAATTTTTTTTTTGCTTATAGGAATTTTTTCAACAAGCCATTGGAGGCGTTGTTAGCGTGATGCTAAGTTACAACGAAAAAGGTGTTTCAACTGGGTTTGCCACCGTCACCTTTAAAAACAACGACAGAGCCGCTAAAGCTGTCCAAGAACTTAACGGTGCTCCAATTGATAACAACAGAAGAAAGTTGAGAATTCAATTGATTGTTGATCCAACTAAATCTGCTGCTCCATCTAACCTTGGCCAGTCATTGGCCGCTAGAATTGGGACCCCAGTTTCCAAACCAGTTCAAAAAAAGAAACCAGCTCCAAGAGCAGTTGGTAAGAAGCAACCAGTTCAAAAAAAGAAGCCAGCTAAAGCTCCTAAAAAATCTTTGGAAGATTTGGACAGAGAAATGGCTGATTACTTCAAATCATAAACGGTTTAAAGCTTTTAAATAAGCGAGAATTACATACCGTGTTCTCCCAATTGTTTGACTGAGAAAAAAAATAAAAAAAAAAAAAAAATAAGAGAGTTTTCAATCGCTTATGACTCTTTATGTGTAATGTTTTTTAAATAAACATTTGCACCATTTTTTTTTTTAATGGTATATATGTACAAAACYGTTTTATGTAAAATCTTTAAACTCTTTTGGGTTCTATAATAGTAATCTTTTTTAGCTCTAGTATTGCTACCTTCAAGCCATACTTCTATATTTTCATGACAAAAAAAATACTCTTTTTTTGCTTTTGTGGTTGTTGAATGCTTAGCGAGAGCATTTGGCTAACTCCTTCAATCTCTCTTATCCCAAAAGCCAAGTTTGTCTCCTCTTTTCCTACTCATGTAGCTGGAGCCTACTCCTTCATACTCACTTYTAGGAACTGCTAGCGGGTCGTCCTCGGTTTTAATAGCCTGGTAGTTGGCCTCTTTTGCTATTCTCGAGTACTTTTTGTTGATTTCATCGTCTGCCTGGTCCTTGCTCATGTTGGTCATCTTTACTCTGACCTCGTTTTCATAGTCATTGTCTCTGTTTCTTCTAATCAAGGATTTCGAAATGAACAAGAGGCAAACTGCAGAAACTGCAATGTACCCGATGTTCTTGAAAGTATAAGAAAAAGATGTGTATTTTGCAGACATGTGGGTTGGCTCTTGTCTTGTGGTTAAGTAAAGTGTTTTGCACTTCCTAAGTTGGCACCATGTAGTTGGTTCGCCATATGATCTATCGAATGGAATTAATCGTTTTCATTCGGCCTGCATTGCAAAAAAAAAAAAAGGTTTTTGTTTTTTTGCTTTTTCGTTTTTTGTTTGTTTTTTTTTTCTCTTGCTTTGCATCAAATAGCGGGAATACCTCGAATTGTTCCTTTATCAGAGCTTTCGATATCACAATAACTTATCAATTTAGCTATTTTTTTCAAAAAATTTGATATATAGAAAACATGAAATGAGAAAATAACGTTCGAAATGTCTTCATTAGAGCATGCTTTAGCTGGAGCCACTGGAGGTGCTCTTTCTATTTCATTGACCTACCCGTTGTTGACAGTCACAACGAACTTACAAACAAAAGAAGAAGTTTTAGGAAACAAACCTAGGTCTGTGAAAARTGTTTTCCTTGATTTGTGGGAAACGAAAAGTCTATACAAAGGACTTGAGAGCTCTTTGTATGGAATCACCTTGACAAATTTCATCTACTATTTTTTTTACGAATACTGCTCGAAAATCCTGCTTACAAGAAAGTTGAATAAAAAAAATAATGCACAAAAGAGTCAGAAGATGAACACTATAGAATCGATGTTTTRTGGTTTTATTGCAGGAACCATCACGGCAACCTTGACAAACCCTGTATGGGTGGCCAACACAAAGCTGACCACATCAACTTCTTTGGACAAAAAAGCTTCAACTTATCAAGCAATTGTGCAAATTGTTAAAGAAGRAGGTTTTTTGCAACTTTTCAAAGGGCTGAAACCCGCATTGGTTTTGGTTATCAATCCAATTATACAGTACACGGTGTTTGAACAATTGAAAAACACAGTTGCTTTGTCTAGAGATTCTCTTTCTCCTGCAATGGGATTTGTTTTAGGAGCAGTGAGCAAGCTTACTGCAACAGGAATCACTTATCCTTACATCACATTGAAAACACGTATGCATTTGGAGAGCAATGGGGCTGACGGGAAATCCACCGACATGATGACTATGCTGAGAGATATCATTCAACAAGAGGGACTATGGAGTGGTCTTTACAGAGGTGTGACAGTGAAACTGGTTCAAAGTGTTCTTACAGCAGCTTT